AGAATAGAATAGAATAGAAAATAGAATAGAATAGAATAGAAAATAGAATAGAAAAAGAATAGAATAGAATAAGAATAGAATAGAAAATAGAAAAGGATAGGATAGGATAGAATAAACAGAGTCGTTAGGGACCTTGTAGGTCATCTAGTCCAATCACCCCCTCCGCCCAAGCAAGAGACCCTACACCATTTCTGACAGATGGCATTTCAGTCTCTCCTTGAAAGCTTCCAGCGACGAAGCTTCGCTGCCTTCGCCCGTTCAGACGACCAGCCGGCTTTCGCCGCTTCGCAGGGGGGCAGTCGACACGCGTCGGCGGCGGTCATGGGGGAGCGTCCTCCCGGTTCGGCTGCTCGACGCGCGCGTCTTTTGGCTGCCGCGGACTGAAAAATCTCCGCTTCAGTCCGGCCTCAGCCTGTGCCACACGTGTCCGTACGTGGATCCCCGCAGGCAGCTCCAGCGGGAGCTGATGCAGGGATTGCGGGAATTGGAAAGTCTGGCATTGAGATGGCTTCTCTGGCTGGCGGCTGCGGCTTTGTCTGGAGTTTTAATTTAGATGCAAATGAGGAGGGCTGGGCTGCTCCTCTGCCAGCATATTAATGCAGACTTTCCCTTTCTGGGGGGGGGGGGGGGGGGTTGGTTTGTTGTTGGGCGTCCAAGGAGTCGCATTCCCAGGTGTATCTGTTTCGTCTGGCTTCTAGCCCGGGTAAGCCTCGGGACTGATCAGAAAGGGACTGGGATCCAGGAATAGACTTGGTCTCTGGAGAGCAAGCTGGAACAAATTACAGATTCACAGAGTTGAAAGGGACCTTGTAGGTCATCTAGTCCAACCCCCACTCCAAAGCAGGAGACCCTATACCATTTCTGACAAATGGCAGTCCAGTCTCTTCTTGAAGGTCTCAAGTGATGAAGCTCCAACTTCCATGGGTTGATGGTTCTCACTGTCAGAAAATTCCTCCTTATTTCCAGATTGAATCTCTCCTTGTTCAGTTTCCATCCATTATTCCTTGTCTGGCCTTCAGGTGCCTTGGAAAATAGCTTGACCCCTTCCTCCTCTCTGGGGCAGCCCCTCAAATATTGGAAGACGGCTATCCTGTCTCCCCTGGTCCTTCTCTTCCCTAAACTAGCCAGGCCCAGTTCCTGCAAATGTTCACTGTATGTTTTAGTCTCCATCATTCTGGTTGCTCTTCTCTGTCTCAACATCTTTTTTAAATATCTGGTGACCAAATCTGGTATTCTAGGTGTGGCCTTACTAAGGCTTTATAGATTGGTATTAGTACCTCCCTTGATCTGGATTGTATCCCTCCATTAATACAATTTAGGATTGCATTGGCTTTTTTGGCTGCTGCTGCATACTGCTGGCTCATGTTTAGCTGGTTGTCCACTAAGATCCCTCTCACAGTCACTGCTATTAAGCCAGTCTATATGTGTATTTTTTATTTTTCTTGCCTAGGTGTAAGACTTGACTTTTCCCTACGTTGAATTTCATTTTGTTAGATACAGCCCAGGGTTCTAATCTGTCGAGATCCACCTGGATCTTGAGCCTATCTTCTAGGGAGTTGGCTATTCCTGCCAGCTTAGTATCATCTGCAAATTTGGTAAGTTCTCCTTCTATTCCCTCATCTAAGTTGTTTATGAAGATATTGAAGAGTCCTGGGCCTAAGACGGAACCTTGTGGCACCCCATTGCTTACTTCCCTCCATGTAGACTTAGACCCATTAAGGAGTACTCGTTGAGTATGTTTGTCAGCCAGTTGCAAATCCATCTGGTGGTGGTGCTATCTATTCCACTTTTTTCTAGCCTCCCTCCCTCCCTCCCTCCCTCCCTCTTCCCATTTCCCAATCTGGAGTACCGATCTTCAGATCACCTCGTGGTGCCCCATTCCTTTTTTCAGGTGGGACAATAGAAGGCTAGATTGCTGTTTCTCAACCTTGCCCAGTTAAAGATGGGGGGAATGTGTCTTGAACTGACCATGGTTGAGAGATACTGGATGAGATGACTGGAGGTTTTCTTTTTTGGTGTGTGTGTGTATGTGTGTGGCTGTTCGGGGATAGCTTGCCAGATCTTCCTACCTCTTTTTGTGGTCTCCCATCCCTGGCCAGCCAGCTGGCTGCTTCCTGTCCTGACTTTCCTACGTCCCTAGGGTCTCCTCGTGGTTTCCCATGCCTGGCTTAAAATAAAAAGAAAGCCCGACCAGCTCACTTCTTTTCTGTCCAGGCTTTTCTCCATCCCTGGGTTCTCCTCATGGTCTCCCATCCCTGGCCTAAAAAAGCCAACTGGCATTTTCTCTGCCCTGCTTCCCTCCCTCCCACTGCCTGGACTCACTTGCTCTATGCTCCCTCTCCCTCCCCTTCTGTCCACCTGCAGGTGAAGCGTCCAAAAAGCCGATAATTACCTCCCCCCTGCACACACCCACATCCGCTAATGGACTGACTCCCCACAGCTCCATGGCATTGATTGACTGTTCCAGTGGCTGGCGCATACACCCCCTGTCCCGTGGCTGGCAGAGGCGTAGATGCACAGTAGACCGAGAGAGAGGAAAGGAAAGGAAAGGAAAGGAAAGGAAAGGAAAGGAAAGGAAAGGAAAGGAAAGGAAAGGAAAGGAAAGGAAAGGAAAGGAAGAAAAATAGGAAAGGAGAGGAGAGGAGAGGAGAGGAGAGGAGAGGAGAGGAGAGGAAAGCAAAGGAAAGGAGAGGAGAGGAGAGGAGAGGAGAGGAGAGGAGAGGAGAGGAGAGGAAAGGAAAGGAAAGGAAAGGAAAGGAAAGGAAAGGAAAGGAAAGGAAAGGAAAGGAAAGGAAGAAAAATAGGAAAGCAGAGGAGAGGAAAGGAAAAAGGAAAGGAAAGGAATATAGACAAAGCAGAGGAGAGGAAAGGAAGATAGAAGGAAAGGAGGGGAGAAGAAAGGAAAAAGAGAGAGAGAGAGAAAGGAAAGGAAGAGAGGGGGAATAGAGGGAAAGGAAAGGGAAGGAAGAGAGAGAGAGAGCGGGAGGGAAGGAAGGAAGGAAGGAAGGAAGGAAGGAAAGAAAGAAAGAAAGAAAGAAAGAAAGAAAGAAAGAAAGAAAGAAAGAAAGAAAGAAAGAAAGAAAGAAAGAAAGAAAGAAAGAGAAAAGGGAGGGGGCTGCAAAGCCATCTGGGGATAAGCAGAGGGGGTGCACAGGACACAGGGAGGGGACACCTGGAGAGAAAGGCAGGCAGGTTGGCAGGTGAGCCACCACCCCCTTCCAAAAAAAGCCAGCCTGACTGTGCAAGAGAGATGCCAATTAAGATAGCAGTAGACCGTGGCCGCGCCAGCCTTGAAATGCAGCGCACACCCAGAATAGCAATCAGCTCCAGGCAGGCACGGTTAGGACCCCCACCCCACCCAACACACACTCACACTCTCCAAGCCCAGCCCATCACAACCACGGGGTCTGGTGGGGTGAGGGAGGACAGCATCCTTTTCTTTCCACTGCTCTTCCCCAGCTTAAGGCATGCCCTCCCCTGGGGGGGCAGGTTATCTCCTCCCAACTCTTCCCCCCCCTCGTTTGCCGCGCGGGAGCCCAGCCCTGAGACCAGCCCCCCCCCCCCCGGGGGTCCTTTGCCCCCCCCCCCATTCCAAGAAGCAAAGACCAGGCAGGCTGACTTCTGTTTTGTCACATTTGCACAATTCCTGGACGGATGCAATACACCAAGCCCTCGATCGGAGTTTGTGCAAGCTTTAGAAATAAATTAACTATAGTAGCTAACGCAGCCAGGTTGGCAACCTTGCTGGTTGGTCATCCGGTGGTCTGGATTGGCAGCTTCCAGCATCTTCAATGTCCTTGGAGGGTATCTGAGAATCCCTGATTCACATAAAGTGAGATCCCCGTGTGAGCCCATCCTCTCCCAACCAGTATTTGGATGTAACTGAGTTGCTTGCCCTGTAACGCAGTTTGGCTGACTGATCTTGCCCCCAGTTTCCTTCATGGCAAGACAGTGTGGCCTGCCCTATCCTGGTTTATACTGGCCATCAGCTTCCTGTAATGGATGCGATGTGGCCAGCTGTTCCTTCCCGATATTGTCTAGCTTAAGTGAGGCCATGCTGGTTTAAATTGGCTCAAGTTGGTGGCTTGTGTCGATTTTTCCCCACCATGTTGGTTAATTATTTCATTTTGCTGCGATTCCTTAAAATGGATTGATTTTGAAAGGATCAAAAGAGGTCAGGCTGAGAATAGAACAGAACAGAACAGAACAGAACAGAATTCTTTATTGGCCAAGTGTGATTGGACACACAAGGAATTTGTCTTTGGTCCATGTGCTCCCAATGTACATAAGAAAAATAAAATACATTCATAAAGAATCATAAGATACAACACTTAGTGATAGTCATAGGTTCCTAATAAGCAATCAATACTAGGGAACAAATAAAACAATATAAATTTTAAAGATACAAACAACATGTTTATAGTCATAAGTGGGAAGAGATAAGGAAGGATGAGAAGAAGAATAGTAATACAGTCTTACTAAGTAGTGTTGTATTAAGTAGTGACAGTCCTGTGGGAATTATTTGTTTAGCAGAGTGATGGTGTTCAGGAAAAACTGTCCTTGTGTCTAGTTGTTCTGGTAGCGTCGTTTTGAGGAAAGGAGTTGAAGCAGTTTACGTCCAGGATGTGAGGGGTCTGTAAATATTTTCATAGCCCTCTTTTTGACTCATGCAGTATACAGGTCCTCGACTGAAGGCAGGTGGGTAGTAATTGGTTTTTTTCTGCAGTCTAATTATCCTCTGTGTCTGTCCTGTTGGGTTGCAGAACCAAACCAGACAATTCTAAAGGTGCAGGTGACAGACTCAATAATTCCTCTGATATCGCTCAAGCTGGTTTATTTTGCACCCTGGTTCCCTTCCTCACCTGACAATCAATCTAGGGCATTCTCTGTGCTCAAAATCATATAGAACGATGGATTTCTAAGGGGTTACTGAATAACAGTTGCGAGGGACCTCGGAAAACTTTCAGCCCAAGCTGCTGCCCAAGCAGAAAAGATGGGTGTTAGTTGGACTCTTCCCGGGCATCCTCTTTGCCGTCTCCATCCTCTTCAGTGCGGAACACCAAGCCACGATAAACCTGACTCAGATCTTCCCGCGACACACAGACCCAACCGTCAGGCCGGACGTGGTAGAGATCCACGTTGCCGCCGGAATAGGCGTCTCGGTGGGCAGCGTGAGCCACTGCTTGGCGGGCCAGCCAGAATGCCTCCGCCTGGGGCAGATCGTACTGATAGGTGCCATCCAGCACACCGTAGGCGTAAGGGGATCCGGACCCCACGGCCAACACATCCCCGGAGAAACGGGTCCCGTCGCTGTAGACGTAATGCAAACCAGGTCCGTGGCAATCCCAACCACACAGCAATGTGGCCACACAGAGATCCTTCTGGGCGCATCCCTTCAGCATGAGAGCAAGCAGCTTGGCCGCCCCGGCCACACTGGGCTGCCGGCCTTCCGAAAGGTGCCTCATGCGGAGCGCACAACGCAGGAGACGCAACCAGGTAGCACAGTCGGCCGAGGTCCCTGACGTGGTTGCCAGAAGGTGTCGGTGCAGCGTGATGACTTTGCGGGAAGACGGATCGGACACCAGAGCCCCGCAGGAAGACCGAGTGTCCGCTGCCACCACCACCCCGTGGCTGCAGCGGAAGGCTAGCGTGGTGGTGCCGTGGGACAGCAGGAAGGGACGGGGCACCTCGGGCCCACTGGGTTGCAGCTGGACCCAGGGAGGCACCTGCGAAGGGTCCCTTGTGCCAACAACATCCTGGAGAGCCATTTGGGAAGAAAATAGAGAGCGAGGGGAGGAGAGCATTTAAAGGATGAGCATGAGCTCCTTCGCTTGGATGGGGAGGAGGGGTCCCAGGTCAACTGGGGGGCGAAGAGGGAAGCATGAGGCGGAGGAGGGAAGGATTGTGTTTCTTGGGACACAGAGCAAGGTTTGGGAGAAGAGGCAGTATTCGGTTGCACGCGTCAGAGAGCAGGTCTGGGCCTGTGTCGGGGGCTGAATTCTCTCTCTAAAGGTTTAGATAATTTCACTGAAAGGGGATGGAATTTGATGCCGCAGCCTATCTCAGCCCCCAGCTTCAAGCTTTCCTAAAGAGTGGTATGGTGTGCCTTTCTCTGGATTTGAATGTGGACTTCTATTCCAAGCAGTCTTACAAAAGCGTGCGGGTGTGGGAAGAGAGGCATAAGAATTGGTCTCAAAGGATCGTCTCAGTGATAACCCAGCACAGAAACTCTTCTACTTACAAACAGTTCATTCATTCAGTCATCGTCGTCATCATCATCATCATTTAACGACTGCATAATCCCTTATGGGGTGGAGTCTGGGCAACTGAATGCAGCTAACAGAGTGTTTGATTGGCCGGATGCCCTTCCTGTCACCAATGTGGAGTTTTTCCCCCCAGCATATTCTCATGGTGCCCAGAAAGAGAAGTATTTGCCACTACCTAGGATCGAACTCACAGCCTCCTGATTGTGAGGCAACAGCTCCACCTCTATGCCCCCACACCAGTCCACAAACAGTTCATTTAGTGACCGTGCAAAATTACGACAGCACTAAAAAAAACCGACATGACCATTTTGACCTAACCCTAATCCTTTGGCATAGGGGCTGAGCAAAACACAAGACAAGGAAATAATCTCTCTTTTTCCCAAGGGTGTCTTTGATTGGTACCCACTGCTGATCTGAGAGGGTCTCTCTTGGGAGGGGTCGGGAAACCACTTGATTTTTACTCTTGGGACTTCTGGAGATGCTATTTTTAGGATGAACTCTCTTGAGCAATCCGGCAGCTGTGTTTTGATACCCAAGATCCCTGTGCTGCATGAAGCCTTCAGTGTCATTTGGTTACCTGTCCCTGAAATACAAGGACAGGACAATAATTGGAAAATAAGAACATTTTAATTCAGGTTTGACTTTCCCCACAGCTGGGACCCGGTGTTCCCAACCTAAAAACGATTTGTTCTCTCTCCAAGGTTATTCCTGGTTTGTCCCTTCCTCTCCTGCTCCCCCCAAATGATGCTATCTTGTTAACAGCTGTCAGTCTTTCCTATCTGCATCCTCTGGGGGGGCCAGGATGCTGAATAGTCTCCACCCCACCCTTTCCGTGTGTCCTTCCAGAGGTTGGGAAGCGAAGAGTCTCACGAGTGCTGTGAGCAAGCCAGAAAAAAAAAGGGTACGTGCCACAGATGTGCCGGAGGTGTGCATCCCAATAGCTGGAGACAGCTGGGAAACTTTGCACACTTCATTTGCACTCCAAAATCCAGTGGAGATTCTCTCAAATTTATTCTAATTTACTTCTTGAGCAGCTTTCAGTTTTAACTTCAGGGCAACCATTCCAAGAACTGAGATCCTGGCTGGGATCTTGGGGAATATTTGTGGCGCTTGTTCCAGATGTTGGACATTGCGGTTGTCAGAAGAATAATTTGGGGTTCCAACTCAAGCCGGGAGTCGAGCAAGCAAGCATAAAAAAATGAGATCCAAACAGCTGTGAGGAAAGAAGAAATTTTGATTCCCGAAAGCAAACAGTTTGCCTTTAAGGGCAGCTGCAGAGAAATGGGGTACAGCCGAGGTGGGCTTCAAAAATTTTAGCAACCGGTTCTCTGCCGGTTGCTGGGTGGGCATGGCCATGGTGGCCGTGGTCTAGTCGGCCTCCTGTACCAGGGCGGGGAGAGGGCATTTTTACCCTCCCCAGGCTCCAGAGGCTTTTCCTTAAGCCTCTGGGCGGGCAAAAATGGCCTCCCCAGGCTCCTGAGGCCAGAAACAGGCCCATTTCCGGCCTTCAGCAACTTCTGGGAAGCCCGTTTTTTGCCCTCCCCGAGCCTCCACGTGGGCCCTGTACTTACCTGGGATCCAAAATTGGGCCGTGTGGTAACTCCTGGGAGGGGCAGGGCGGGCGAGACCAGACAGGGATGGGATTTGCCGGTTCACCAAACAGGCCGTAAAATTAGCTACCTGTTCAGTTCCGGTTCGCTTGAACTGGGGCAAACTGGTAACGGCCCACTCCTATGGCGACAGATTTTCATAGGGGGAGTTTGGCTGGGGTGTGGAAGTGTCTATGGGTGGATTTTAGGGTGACCACTTCAGGGGTGTTTGCATGTATGTTTATAGGTGGTTGTTCTTGTGAACATGCAGTTCTGCTGGGGAGCTTCATCTCTGGAAGCTTTCAAGAAGAGACTAGACTGCCATCGGTCAAAAATGGTGTAGGGTGTGCTTGGGCCAGGGGTTGGACTAGATGACCTACAAGGTCCCTTTTCAAATCTGTTAATCTAATCTCATCTCACTCTATTTGTGTTTACAGACCTTATCCTTTGATATGTGGATTAGGGCATTTGAGAAAGTTTGAATAAAAGGATTTTCCTCTGTTTTTTTTTCTAATTTTATTTAATTAACCTGACTGTCCGTTATCAAGTTATCAAGCTAATTCTCAGTCCGTTGGGGATTCCATTAATGTTTTAAGGGAAGATGGAAACAGCATAAATAATAAAATATATTTTGATATAAAACTTCCCTCAGAGTCAAAGAGAAAGAGAAGCAGAGAGACTTGAAGTGGCTATTTTAGTTCTGCCAGTTCCATCTTTTGGAAGAAAAAAAAATTGGGTTATTATTAGTCCTCGACTTACGATCACAATAGAGCCCAACATTTCGGTTGCTAAGCAAAGACATTTGTTAAGTGAGTTTGGTCCCATTTTACGACCTTTCTTGCCATTGTTGTTAAGAGAATCATGGCAGCTGTGAAGTTAGCTACCTGGTTGTTAAGTGAATTGGGTTTACCCATTGATTTTGCTCGTCCGAAGGTCGCAAAGGGGAGGAAATCATGTGATCTCAGGACACTTCAACCGTCACAAGTTGCTAATGTGAGTCTGAATTTGGATCATGAGACTGTGGGGATGCTGCAATGGTTTTGAGGGTGAACAACGGCCGTAGGTCATTTTTTTAAAGTGATGATTCGGTTGCTAAATGAACCAGTGGAACTGCTTGCCACCAGAAGTTGTGGGTGCTCCATCACTGGAGGTTTTAAAGATTGGACAGCCATTTGTCTGAAATGAGGTAGGGTCTCCTGCTTGAGCAGGGGGTTGGACTAGAAGACCTCTAAGGTCCCTTCCAACATTCTGTGATTCTTTAAGTCAAAGACTATCTACACAGTATTCAAAAGGGGAACCCATGCAAAGATTGGTGGGCCAAATGTCATCAGTTTCTTCATCATTTTTAAAGAAGATTAAAGAGGAGCACGAAAGCCAGGTACAGGGGAGTAAACAGGAACAAAATGAAAAAAAAAAAAAGCTATTTTCAGTCAAGAGAGTAGAGATCACAAATCTTAAGAGACACCTTCCCATGGAGAATGTTCAGGACATCAGCATGGAAGCAAAACTATTAATACAGTACTAAAGCTTTCTACAGATATAAAATTGGAATTGAATTTCCTTTTTCTGCGGGAAAGAACGTAAGTGTTCTAGGGGGTGGTCCTTGGAGGGGGTCCATCCATGCAAGTACTAACCTGGCCTGATGTGGCTTCGCTTTGTAAAACAATAAACTAATAAACACATACATACATAAAAATACAAAAATAAACTGTACAAAAGCATGTACTGTAGCAATACAAAGCATCACAGCCAAGGGTAAAAGAACAACCATTAATAGAAGAACAGTGTGCATATGTGCATATATTCATTTATCTATCTATCCCTGTCACCTATCTAATCTGTCATATCTATCTATCTATCCATCCATCCATCCATCCATCCATCTATCTATCATCTAATGTCATCTATGTATATATCTAATCCCTGTCATCTATCCAATCTGTCATATCTATCTATCTATCTATCTATCTATCTATCTATCTATCTATCTATCTATCTATCTATCTATCATCTATCTATCTATCTATCTATCTATCTATCTATCTATCTATCTATCTATCTATCTATCATCTATCTAATCTGTTATATGTGTTTATATATTTAATCCCTGTCATCTATCTGTCATATCTTATCTGTCTGTCTATCTAATCCCTGTCATCTATCCAATCTGTCACATCTATCTATCTATCTATCTATCTATCTATCTATCTATCTATCTATCTATCTATCTATCTATGTACACTACTATTACTGTTAATCTTCTCATCACTCCTCCCACTTGTGACTGTAGGACTGTAACTTTGTTGCTTGTATCCTTACGATTTATATTGACTGTTTCCTAGTATGATTTGATTGTTGATTGTACCCAAGACTATCATTAAATGTTGTACATTATTATTCTTGATTCTTAACGAATGTACCTTTTCCTTATGTATACTGAGTATTTACACCAAGACAAATTCCTTGTGTGTCCAATCACACTTGGCCAAGAAAGTATTCTATTCTATTCTATTCTATTCTATTCTATTCTATTCTATTCTATTCTATTCTATTCTATTCTATTCTATTCTATCATCTATCTAATCTGTTATATGTGTTTATATATTTAATCCCTGTCATCTATTTGTCATATCTATCTGTCTATCTAATCCGTCATCTATTTAATCTGTCCTCTCTCTCTCTCTCTCTGTCTGTCTCTCTCTCTCTCTCTCTAATGTCATTATCTATCTCTCTGTCTGTGTCTATCTATCTAATCTGTCATATCTATTTCATCTATCTAATCCGTTCAGTCTACCTACCTACTTACCTACATCTATCTATCTATCTATCTATCTATCTATCTATCTATCTATCTATCTATCTATCTATCTATCTATCTATCTATCTATCTATCATCTAATCTGTCATGTCTGT